AAAAAAAGGAACCCAGCCAAGCCGACAGCCCCACTTGGAAAATTGGTAAGGAAGCTTGGATTTTTCCCTTCTTTTCTTGTCCAAGAACAAGATTTGAGCTTAGAAACCTTCCCCCCTTGCAGGAAATTTCGGATCTGCCTTGCTCTGCTCCTCACCGCCGGCTGCTCCTGCTTTGTGGGGGCGAATTGCTTTGATTTTCTGGTAAGAAACAGCCATGAATCTCCCTTCTCCAGCTTTAATTGCCTTGGGTTTACCTTAATTGCTCTTGGTTCCTTCTATTTTTGGTAAAACCCGTTCCCTGCAGAATTTCTTCTTCCATGCCGCCGGCCTTCCCCCCCAAATTGCAGCTCCGGCCTTGTTGGTTGGATTTCTTGGTATGTGACAGCTTTATTTAAGTCCAATTACTGTTAATTTGCTGCCTTGTGGTGTCCGAAAATCTACAGAAAATGGGGATGAATTCCGGTAGCTTTAGGACAAATTTAAGCATTAATTCAAGTGGGATTTATATGATTGAGTGTTAATTGACTGCTGTGTGATTTTTGGAGAAAATCCCGTGAATTAGCTAGTGTTTTGGCCAATTTTTGGAAGTTGCAGTACTGTTCACGGGCACTGTTCACGGGCACTGTTTATGCACTAATGGCCAACAATTAACCGGGATTTAAATGTTTAGTTTGTAATATAAGAATAAATGTGGAGATATCCGGTCATATGGAGACTAATAGAAATAGCATCGTAATTAGAGGTGATCCTAATAAAGTTTTCACTTTGAAATTGTGGTAGTGCGGTATTAATTCTCGGATATTTTAATTAGATTCTTGATCATTGGTTGCCCTAGCACTTGGATTGAGTCCTCGGTTTATGGAGTGAATTTCCTATGTTATGCGATTTGAGGTAAGTAAATTTATGGTAATGCCCATACAGTTTTTAAAAGTACGTTTTGATTTGTTTTTGAAGTGGTGACGGGTCTAAACCCGTCTTATGCAAAAGTAAGTATGATTGATTTGAAGTGAAATTTTTATGCTTTTCATTAAATTGAGCACGCCTACTTGAAATTTAATTGATTGTCCTGATGATTTGAAAGTGATTGGTGAAATATGATTTTTCTGTTAACTTATGCCTGTTTTGTCTCTGATATGGTCATGTTATTATTGTGCCCGCTAGTGGGAGGTTTATAAACGCTAGCACATGTCGATATGTTACTGATAGAACCGGTTCGTTTCTGTTATCCTGCTAGTGGGATTATACACTAATAAATTGTGTGCCTGTCAGTGGGAGGTTTATAACACTAGCCATGGCCTATAGAAGAGACGTCTATTTCGTTTCCATACCCGTATCTGTTTTTCCGTACCCGTATTTTACTTACTAAGTTTATCTAATAGTTTTTCCTTGATCATCATTTCAGGAAGCGAAACCGAGGACGGGGAAACCACGGGAAGTGACGAGTTAGAAGGCTAGCCATTTCGAGATTGATATAGATTTTAGATATAAATCATGATCTTGTAAACTAGAGTGTATTTGGAGATTTTATGATATTTGAGCAGATTTAAAATTTTATCTTCAGATTTTGGTGATATTAGATTGTGGTATGATAAGTTCCGAGCCTTGTGCATTTGTAAGACCCTCTCACAAGTGCACGGCGTTTGTCGCGCCTCGGATTTAGGTTTTAGAGCATGACAAGAACAGATCATGAACATCTACGAAATAAGTCTCCATGTATCAGTAGTGCAAATGATTAGAAATATTTGGTTAATCTTTTTAGCAAAGATTATCAAGCTAATCAAATTATTTAATTTTCTTTCCATCTTAGATACCTTATAATGGACATACATATAGTATTTTGGGATATATTAACATTTTTCTTTTTTCTTTTTCCCTTTGCTTATAGGACAAAACTTTACAAAACAAGGTAAATATATCCAAACGCTGTATGCCTTCATATATAGGCACAACAAATTTTGCTAGATTTAGGCAAGAAATGGTAAACATATTAGTTCATTTTTTGTTTAAAAAATCAATTTAATAATATAGTTTTTCCTTATGTAAACTATATAGTTCATGCCTACATCAATTTCTTTTGATGGATACAAACTTTGTGACAGAAAAATAATAATGGTGTGGCTACTTTTCGTGTGAATGTTTGGTTTTGATCTTACAAAAGAAAGAAATGAAAAGAGGTTGACCCAATATCACAAGCTGCTATTGTAAGTATAAACATGCAACATACATGTCTATCTATTATCATTTTTATTTTTTTAATTAATTCAACCTTGCATTTAGCATGCAAACTGAATTCAAGTAGCTTAAAAAAACAAAAAGAAGGACAGCTATCAATGAATGATGATGACATGTTTGAAAAGGTTTTTAAGCTAAAGAAACATGGTTATCTACACGCTTATGGTCTTGGAAAAAATATCGTTGAATACTTTAAAACTAGACCAACAAAAGAAGAACTACCTAAACAAGTGGAAGCTACTAGAAAAGAGGCAATTGAACAAGTTGAAGAGGCTAGAAAGAAGGCAAAAAAGTGAGCTAACACAATCAAACAACAACTTGAGAAGAAGATGGATGATAAAATAGAAGAGGTTAACAAACAACAAAAAGACAATATCAAGAAGATGCTTGTTGGAAAAGGCTTAGATTCTTTATTGGATAATCAAGAGTACGATATTGCAAACATAAGTTATTCCTGTGTAGTTAGAGCTTACTATTATTGGTTTGAAAAGCTCTATTTTTCGCTTTAGATTTTATTTTATGTTTTATTACTCTAGATTGGTTCTTAAGTTGGTTGTTATATGAGAGAATAATTCTTTACTAGTAAGATATTTTATTTTTGTATTTGCAGGAAGTTGATAATTATGAGGATTTTAGAGGCTCATCAAGAAGATCAAATGGTTGCTATATTTAAAATTATTGGGATGCATATTGTAATATCCCAAATTTTCGAGAATTTTAGCATTTAATTAAGGACTTGATTGTGAGAAAAGATTATTTTGGGGCCTAATATGAATATTCTAAAAGTTGAGGGACTTAAAAAGTGAAAGATTTTGGATAAGGATGACTTCTTTTCTTTTCTCCTTTATCTTTCTTTCTTTTCTTCTTCTTCCCCGCGTGTTCTGCTCTGTCTTCCCGCTGCAGCCGCCCGAAGAAAAAACAAGGGAACCCAGCCATGCCTTTGAGAAACCGGTGAGATAAGATTGGTTTTCTCCTTCCTTTCTTGCTCTAGAACACACCTAGAACCCAGAAATCTTCCCCCCCTGCTGGAAAAGCCGGATCTGCCCTGCTCTGCTTTGTCCTTCCGCCGGCTGCTCTTGATTGTGGGTGATTTCTGGGCATTTTTTTCAGTAAGAACAGCCCCTAATTTCCTTTGTTCTTGCTTGAATTGGCTTGGGTTAACTTGATTGCTCTTATTTCCTTCAATTTTGGGTAGATCCGTGAGTTTCTCCCTTGCACTGCCGCCGGCCTCTTCCCCCCTGTAGCTCCGGTTTCTACAGCTGGAGAATTATGGTATGTGACAGCCTTTTAAGGCTTAAATTATCCATTTAAAGTTGCTGCTTGTGATGTCCGAATTTGGCTAGGAAATGGGGAAATTCCGGTAGCAATTAAGAGGGATTTAAGTGTGTTTTGTTGCTTAATTCTAGTGAGATTTATGTGATTGAGTGTTAGTTGGTTGTTGTGATTTTTGGAGAAAATCCCGTGAGATTAGCTAGTGTTTTGGCCAATTTGCGGAAGTGGAGTTACTGTTCACGTCGGGGTACTGTTCACCGACACTGCTCACACCCCGAGGGCCAACAATTAACGGGAATTTAAATGATTAGTTTGTGATATAAGAACGAATTTGGAGATGTCCGATCATGTGGAAAGTGATAGAAATAGTATTGTGATTAGGAATGATCCTAATGATCATTTCAACTTGAATTTGTGATAGTCTGGTATTAATTCTGAGGTGTTTTGATTAGGTTCCCGATTGTTCTGTCAGTTAGTGCATGAATTGAGTGCTCAATTTTATGCAAGTGAAGTAAGTAAATTTATGGTAATGCCCGTACTGTTTTAAAAGCATGTTTTGATTTGTTTTTGAAGTGGTGGCGGGACTAAACTCGTTTTACACAAGTATGACTGATTTGAAGTGAAATGTTTTGTGCTTTTCATGAAATTGAGCATGCCTACTTGAAATTTAAGTGACTATCCCGATGATCTGAAAGTGATTGTGAATTGTGATTTTCCTGTTAACTTCTGCCTGTTTTGTCTCCGATGTAGTCATGTTATTCGTGACCCTGCTAGTGGGGGAGGTTATAAACACTAGCACATGTCGACATGTTAGTGAGAGAGCCGGTTCGTTCAACCCAGCTAGTGGGGGTTATACACCAGCAAATCGTGGCCCTGCTAGTGGGGATTATACACTGGCCGTGACCTATAGAGGAGACGTCTATTTCGTTCTCGTACTGTACCCGTTTTGCGTGATTGCACATGTGGCATGCTATAAGTTTAAATAAGGGGCACTCCATATTTACTTACTGAGTTTATCTCATAGTTTTCCTTGTCCACCATTTCAGGAAATGAAACCGAGGACGAGGAAACCACGAGAAGTGACGAGTTAGAAAGCTAGCCATTTCGAGATTGATATAGATTTTCGAAATAAATCATGATCTTGTAAGCTAGAGTATATTTGGAGATTTATGATATCAGAGAGATTTTATAATTTGATCTTCAGATTTTGGTGGTATCAGAGTGTGATATGATAAGTTCCGAGCCTTGTGCACTTGTAGGACCCGTCTCACGAGTGTACGGCGTCTGTCGCGTCTCGAAATTGGGTTTTGGGGCGTGACACATATAGTTTAGCTATAGTTTAATTATTATAGTTATGGTAAATGTTTCTTTCTTTCTTTCTTAGAGACCATTGATGAATTTGGTGAAGTGTTGTTGGATTTATGAAGTTATTTAAATTAATTTTACTTTGAATATTTTATTTATTGTATGAATTGTTGATAATGAATGGATAAATATTTTTATCGAATTATGAATTTCATACTATAATTATGTTTTTAGCAAAATCTTTCAATCATTTGTTACAAATTTATTGTTTGCATAACAAAATTTTAAATTGATTAGCTACGTAACACATGACTATAATATTCGTGGTAAATAACTATATAAGTTTTAGCTATAGATTTATTATGTCCCATAACTATAATCGAATGCATTTGCTATCGATACATTTCATTTGTAGCTAAATTTTGCTTCAAGAATAGGAGTTTATGGCAAATAGTTATAGATTTATCATATTCATAGCTAGAGCTATAGAAACATTTGCTATGTTACATTTTATTTGTAGTAAAGCATTGCTACAAGAGCAGTGATCTGATTGTAAATAATTAATTTTTTTTTAGTTATGAATTTGCTAATTCTGTAACTATATTACACAAAATTATTGCTATAGTAAGATCCATCTATCACTAATAAATTTTTTAGTTAGCTATATATATTAATATTTATAGCAAAATGAAATAACCATTTCCTACGTGAATAGCTTGTCACGGCTAAAAGTCAAGGCTACAACATAGATAAATTAAGCTAAAAGGCTTGGTTCTTAACTACAAAAGTTGAAAAGTCCATAGCTAACTTTTAGCCATACCATTTCTAACCATGACAAGCTACATGAATTATTTCTATTACTAAATCATTTAGCTACAAGATTTTTACCATTTAACTACTGAATGTCCTGTACTTGTAAATGCAAAATATAGTAGTGAAAACTATTATAAATAGTTTCCTCTACACCCAAAAGTTGGAAGAAAGGCTTAGAATCCAAAGTAAACTCTTAAGCAAATGGCTTGAGAGGTGGATTAAGCATAAGTTATAATCAAACCACTTTAAATCCTTGTGTTTGAGTTTCCTCTTCCCTTCACTCTTTTAATTTTTGCACCTTAATTTAGTTATTTGTAATTAGATGTGATTGTTCATTATTTTGACTTTGAAAATTGCTTAAGATTTCAAAAACCCAATTTATCCTTGGCCTTTCTTAGGTCACCATCATCGAGGGCAACAATTGATATCAAAGCCTCAACACAAGTTTGTTATTTTAAATTCTTGAATCATTTTTAAATCAAAGATTCATGGGAAATTAAGCTTTCATATTTTCTAAAACATTGTGTTCTCATCCTTTTTTAAGAGAATATAAGTGCTATCATAAATCACCCCCACATGGTGTAATTTATGCATTGCGCCCATATCTTCATTCAATAACCAAGGTAAAGAATGTAAATTTTGCCCTAATACACATCTAGTAGCTTGTTGTAGACAATCAAAAACACTTGCAAACATGAGTACAATGTTGAAGTATGACGCCTTGGGTTGAAATTATTAATTGCAAGGCTTTATTTTTCATTATGAGGTTCTCGTTTGACTGAAGTAAGTATTCAATCAAAATACCTCCATGTTTTAGTATGAATTACATTATCTATTTTAGTATGATATTTCAAATCCTATGTCATGCTTAGCTATTTTTCATGAAATATATAGCCTCTTAAGGCAAGGGATTATTATTGAGTACTATAAAGAATTTCTTGAGATGTCCTTTTATTGTGTTCATCTTTAGTTTATCTATTTATACTTGGCTTCCTCACAAACTAGACATTCAATCAATGCCTTTGTATGCTCTTTGTAATATAGAAAGCAATTGTTAACATTTACATCAATCTTTAAATAACTCAAATTGTGGCCTTTCATAAATTTTTTCCTTCATAGAAATTCGGAGGAATTTTTTTTCTAATCTTTAGGACTAAACAACCTTTTAAATCCTTTAATGATGGCATTATAACCTACATCGATGATATTATTTTCAGTCTTAGTGTGCAACATATAAAAGACCAAGTTGAGTATTGTTTCACTTTTACCAAAACTACCATGCAATATAATAAATGCACAAAAGTCATAAAATGTCTTTATTTGATATTTGGTTCCTTGTCCAAAGGTTAAATGGGAAAATTAGTTTCTATTGATTCATGATCATATCCTTTAGATAAAATGCATCATACAGCATTTTATGAAAGGTGCATATCATCAAATTGTGCATTATTAGTGACTGATAACATGTATGAGTACGTAGTAGACCATACATCTGTTGAATTCAAAAATGTTTCATAGCACACCTATCAAATGTAATAAATAATTATAAAATTATTATGAACATAGTGATGACATATAGTTCCCTGATCTCTAAATGATAAATTCATGCATTTACTGTAAAACACATAAGCAAGTTATTAGATCCAAGACCTAGTCTACGGTATTCAAATTACAGAAAACTTTGAACTTTATCATTGAAGGTGACATATATCTCTTCATAACAAATTCAACATATATTCATCAACTACAATCATTTTTCATCTTAATAATGTCATGAAACAAAACAACGACATGACTAACTCAAGAACGATTATAATTAATTCAAGAACGATTATAATAGCTATCCTATATTCTATTGTTCAATCATTTAAGTTTTTATATTATATTTAATTTTTATTTATATGCTATGAAAATAATTAATTTTATTATTTTATAAAAATAATATGAAAATAATGCATATCGATTCTGACTCCTAAAAAAAATTAAAGTTCTAACTTCAAAAACACCACCTTTAATGAATGTTTTCAAAAGCAACCTTTAGATTTGGTATTTTATTTATGTAGATCATACATATCAATTTTTAAATTGATTGAATATATAGAATTAGTTCATTAATGATAAAAAATTTACTACCATTAAATATCTATTAAAAATACAAGTTTGTTTTTATCAAATAATTATAGATGTTAGATCAAGTTGAAAATTGATATGCATCATCTATATCAATGAGACATTAAGGCCCCGTTTGGTATAGCGGTTTTGGGGTAGTGGTTAGCGGTTTTACCTAAACCATTAAATATAGGTGTTTAGTAAATTTATATATTTTGAAACCACTACAACTAAAGTGTTTGGTAAAATTTTTATTTAGCAGTTTGAGACTAGCGGATAGCGGTTATGGTCTAAATCACTAGCGGATTGAAAAAGTTAGTTTATGTAGCTTTTTGTACCAAATCGCTAATGGATTAAAATTTTTTAATTTTATTGACAAATTTATCCATTTTAATTTTTTAGTTTGTGGTCAAATTTTTTAATTAATAATTATCTAATAAATTTCAATTTTGTTTTTTTACCTTTAATAATATTAAGTGATTATAATATTTTTTTTGTACATTAATTTATAATTAAAAAATATATTATCTTGAAAAACAAAATTTGTTAATTA